GTAATCGCTAATAATCGCTAAATTCTACTCTAATAATAATAACTAAATAAGACTAAATAATAATAATAAAATAAATACAATATCAGAATAATAAACTAATAAAATAATAAACTGTTCTATAACATTTCCGTCCCCTTATAAAAATTTGCTCTGCAAATTCTTAATTAAAGACTGATACTCTCTATTATTGAAGACTTGAACATTCTGATCGCCATCATCAGAAATCTTTTCGGTTTCAATCGGTTGTTCTTGCAAAAAATATAAATTTTGTGCCAACTCTCTCTCTAATGACTTGACATCAGTTATGGAAACATTTAAATATTGCGCATGCTTGAATAAAACTGCTCTCGATCGAGCATCATATTCTACCGGCTTATTCACTAAGACTATCGAGTCAGTTAATTGCGTATCAACATTATTTCCATTAGATACTAGATCATTCACTTTTTCTTTTAGATGTAATCCTTCATTGGAATTGCTTATCTCGCTTCGCGTGAGCCCAAGACATACTAATAAAATTTCCGAAATAATTTCCTGACGAATATCTGGTTGCTTGAAAGTGGATATTAACAAGTCAATGTTTATTTTATTGTAGTTGTTATCGTGTTCTGTTTAAAATCATTTTTAAAATTTTTTATTAATTGATTTTGATAATACATCAGTCATAAAAAGATCAAAAAAAAAAAAAATACAATTGATATATTGGTAATTCGAGAATAGCCAATCGATTTAGATGCCATGGACTCATGAACTGTAGAACTTGTTTAAGCCCAGAATCATCGAAAATAGAATAACTAATCTAGAAATTTTTGTTACATAGTGACCATGATGAAAATCAGCCATAAGAAGTGAACCCATCATGAAACAACTACATGCCTTGAAAATCACCTTCCGACATTTCCGATCGGGTTAATTCGGACAAAAAAAAACCCGAGTACCGGTTCATGTTCATATGTTTAAAAGTAAAAGATGATTAACATATGAACATGAACCGGTACTCGGGTTGATTTTTGTCCGAATTAACCCGATTGGAAATGTCGGAAGGTGATTTTCAAGGTAAAGACCCCACATCTCGAGAACTTCAGATTCAAATGAAGAAAATATAATAGGACAAATAGTTCACAAACTATTGATGTTAAAGCGATTAATCAAAATATTCTGAAAAAAATTTCTTCTTATATAATTTGTGAACGGACCTTTTTAGTTTGAGATATCTTCATAGTTATCTGATTCATCTTGGACTTAAATGAATACTAAATTCATATCACTCATCTAAGCCAGAATTAATAAAAGCCAATCCAAAATTCTCGAAATATTGGCGATATATAGTTTATCATCTTTCTTACTGTATTTATGGCAACAATTTTTATTACGGATTAAAACGACTTCTATGGGTTTATGAGAATCGTTTAAATCCATAATCATTCAAAGATCAGTTATTCTCGAATTACCAAATGTACAAGGTGTACTTTTTTTTTGTTTGATCTTTTTGGCGGCCATTGCATTCACTCTTATCCAAGATATAAAGTTAAACCTTTTGTATTGTCAACAGCTAAATGTTGAAATAGATCAGCAAGAAATTGCTGTTTCCATTCTAAATCAACGTCTTTATTCGACCATACACTTTCGTAAACAATGTGGGCACATAAAGTTGCAACGTTAGACCGTTGGGTAGAAGTCTAAACGAAGAATTATTAGTTTATGCGACTTCGGAATTTAAAAAATCCAACTAACATATCATACCCAATTGTGACTTAAAGCTTGAACAGTTTTTCTTTCCATTACTAAGTAAACTAAATCAAAATTATCAAAATTCAGAAATTCAGAAGTAGCGTTTAACGTTAATATTAATAATATGAAAAACATTTATTTGATTGGCTAATTTATGTGGATTTAAACGTGACTATCAACCAATAAAATCAATTAAAAAACTAATATACCGGTATGAATTAATCCATATTAGCGAAGCTTTTACTCCTCATTATATTTTGAATAATGATTCTATCATATTGGAGACGCGAACAACCCTTAGTCCATATAATTAATAACAAAATGACACTGGATAACTTATTTATACGTATACTCTAAGTACTGTAACGTTTCACTAATAAAAAATCACTGCAATATTGTTTATACGAAGTGTCAAAGTTTACTATACAAAAAGAATCAAATTCCAAAATATGCCTACTTTTCATTGGACTAGAGATCTGGTATGATAGCCATAGGAGCATTGGCTGCCAAAATACAGTCAACTCTTTCTATAACGAACTGAAGATTCTGGAAAATAGTTCGTTATAGGGAAATTACTTGAAATTTCAAAATTTTTGAGTTCGTTATATCCAGAGTTCGTTATACCGGGTGTTTCAAAAGTCACGCTCTTGGTCCCTATTTTTTCAGTGACCTTATATACATATTTGTATAAATAATCATCATAATCTCTATATAAGTATAGTTGGTGGTAGAATTACTGAATTACGGCATTACGGCATTTTACCAGTTGGTAGAATTAATTACGGCACAGTAC